GCAGGAATCGGATGAGGAGCGACAGAGGAAGAAGATCCGGGATATACTTACTGCTCCCACAGACGAAGAGTCTTTCATGGGTCAGATAGCAATACTATTACGCTAATGCTAGCAAAGCAAATGCATAATATGCTCTTCAATAACAAAAATGGACAATTTACGATCTGCAAACCATGGGGAGCCTGTGGATTTCTCTCATGTAGACAAAAGGCTGCCATTAGTCACCTCACATTCAAAAACATCCCTCCAAGGCAACTGAGTTCAGAGCCACCCCTCATATAATCACTACGATCATAAGGAACTATTTTCCATTCAATGTCCAAACTGCCACTTTATCCAAATCAACCGGTTCTGTATAGACCAGTATTTCTTAATCTCTACTTCTCCAGGTGTTGTGGATTTCAGTCCCCAGAAATCCCAGCCAACTCACTAGCTGTTCAGAATTGCGAGAGCTTAAATCCCAAACATCTGGAGGAGCAGAGTTTGAGAAATACTGGTGTAGACTGTCATATCACTTTAATACATACTCAATTGGCAACCAAAATTTTATTTGCAAAGGATAAAGACCTTCCTCTGTATCACTGTTGCCAATGGAAAACTGACCTACCCATCCACTATCACATTCTCTTCCATTCACTTTGACAACTGCATAACAGTAAAAGGAAACCAGATCCAAAGATTAATCTTAGATGTCTATACTTGGCTATTCTTAGATGTCTATGTTTGTCAGCAGTTGATAATTACTAGTACAATACCTGCTGTAAGATCTGCATTCTTGTTCCAGGATATAAATACATCATATTTAATGTAATATATTGGTATATTTATAAACCTTTAGTCTACTCAAAAACAGAAAACAGGATGTTGGAGGACAGGAAAAGAGATTTAAAGATGGGCTCAAAGCCAACCTTAAAAACTCTGGCATATACACTGAGAACTGGGAAGCCCTGGCCCTTGAGAACTCCAGCTGGAGGTCAGCTGTGACCAGCAGTGCTGCAGAATTTGAAGAGGCGCGAATGGAGGGTGAAAGAGAGAAACGTGCCAAGAGATAGGTGCATCAGGCCAACCCCGACCGAGACCACCTTCCACCTGGAAACCAATGCCCTCACTGCAGGAGAAGATGCAGATCAAGAATAGGGCTTGATCTGCATCGGACCCACCAGAACACTGATCCTGGAAGACTATCCTACTCGGCCAACGAGGGATTGCCTAAGTAAGTAAGGTAACCATCTTAATATGAGTTTCTGACAAAGGTTTATTTCTAAAGATGCTCTTCGTCCAAAAGATTCTCTCTCCAACAGAAAATTATATAGAGCCTTCCATGCTTCCACATGATCAGCAGAAACATGGCAATATATTTGACCTGAACAGCCATAGGCACCCTAAGGCACACATACAAAAAGTTCTTAATTCTAGCCACACCATTTGTAAGTAGTGGCAATGGATTTCGGTACTAATGTATAAAAAGGAATGCACAGTGCAGACCGGAAAATATTTGCAGTTCTTATAAACCAAGGCAATTTCTACCTCAGAGAAAACCTTATATATTTCCAGAAGATTTATTTTTAAAGCCTTTGTTCACATTTTTGCCAGACCAGTGGCATGTTAATCTGAAATCCTTGCAGTGTTTAGATAACCTTATTGCTAACTGGTCCAGAACGCACGAGAAAGGACGCCCAACTACACTAGAGAAAAAGAAGCGTTCTGCACAACTTGGAGGCTTGCCATGTCAAGGAGGCTCCTGACACAGCAATTCTAAGGCTGCAGTGAGAGCCCCAATGAGTGCAATGGGAACTTGCTCTAGAGAATGCACTCCCCACGGCCAGATAGGCATCTGGAAATATTAAATATTCCTCCCCACTTGCAGTCAAGCCCTTACTAGTATCTTGTCCCTTATGAAGGCAAATAAGACTATCAAGCATGATGGTGGGGAGGGATATTACCTGAGTCTGCCTTATCCAAATTCTTGGGAACAGAAGTGTGTTCAATTATGGGTTTTCTTTCAGATTTTGTAATATCTGTATATACACAATGAAATACCTTGTAGATGAGACTCAAGTCTCAACATGAAATTCTTAAACACTTTATCCAAAATGTTTAGAGCCAGAAGTGTTGGATTTTCTTTCAGATTGAGATATCTTGCAGATGGGACCCAAGTCAAAACATGAAATGCATTGATGTTTCATAGACACCTTCCTGGACACATAGGTTATTGGATGTGCTCTCTGTGTGTGTGTTGTAGCTGTAAAAATAAGGAGGCAGATTGCTGATGATTTTAGCAGATAATGTTTTAACTTATTCATTTTAATATATATATATCCATAGATTTTATAGGTGTTATATATGAATGCTGATTAGGATGGTTCCATATCCTGGACTTTCCACTTTTAAACTTTATATTCCTGGTCTGTGATTGTAATAATAAATATCTACTGGAAACATAGGTCATTTGATGCAATATGTGTGTGTGTGTGTGTGTGTGTGTATGTAATGTTCGTTTGTGGGGATCTCATAACTCAAAAACCACTGGACGAAATGACACCAAATTTGGCCACAAGACACCTACTAACCCAAGGAGTGACCATCACTCAAAAAAAAACCCAGCGAAAAGAACTTTAAAATCCAAAAAAGCTAGAAGACGACACAGTGCACGCATGCAAACAACTTTCCTGGCCCTGCCCCCTCCTGCGCGAGGACATAGCAAGTGCGAAAGGCATCACTGACTATCCTCCCCTTCTGGCCTGAGCAGGAGATAAGAACGGACAGCACAATGGTGGGTCTGGCACAAGGGGAGGGGGAGCCTCATCTGCACCCAGGGAAGGAAGGAGAGAAGGAAGGAGGGAAAGAAAGAGCTAAGGAAGGAATAAAAGAAAGAGGTAGAGAAGGAAGAAAGGAGAGAAAGAGGAAGGGAAAGAAAAAGGGGGAAAAGGAAGGAAAGGAAAGAAGGAGAGAAGAAAACAAGGGAAGGAAGGAAAGAAAGAGGAAGGGAAGGTTGGCCACAGCAACGTGTGATGGGTACAGCTAGTATATGTATGTGTGTGTGTTGCAGCTATAATTATAAGGAGGCAGCTTGCAGATGAAGCTGCAAAAAAAAATTGAATTTCTGGTTTTAATGTCAACGTGTTTTTAAAAGAACTCTTGATTTCAATGTTTTATACTCCTGGTCTGTGACTGTAATAAATCTCTCTTTACTGGACACATAGGTCATTTGATGCAATATGTGTGTGTATGTGTGTGTATATACATTCCACATATTTCATAGGACACCTTATTGTACAAATAACCAGGCCACCTGATGCACGATATATATGTATATTTAAAAACGTGTATGAGGCAAACGCTGGCATACACTGAAACTCTTAAAATGCAAAGTAGGCCTGCCTCAGGGTGCATCGATACCAGACATGGGAATTATTAATTTCATTAACAATTTAATTGCATTGGTTTCATCCTAGGATTTGCCATTTAGGTGCATGTAAAACTCTCATCCAGAAAACTCCAATGTCTTCAGAAACTATACACCCAAGGATCCCATAGGATGCTGCCATAGCACTTGAAGTGGAATCAGTGCTATCAATTTGAAACTGTCCTTAATCCACCTTGGGTCTGTTATGGTGCAGCGTCTTCAAGGAGGGCTGTTCACATTACATATTATGTGAATATTACATATTGTGTGACAGTGAGCACACAACCCAACATCCACCCATTACCACACATATTTCAATCCAGTTGATTAATAAACATTAGAACTTCTGTATACATTTCTACATTTTCAAATACAAAGGGAAGTACCTGCTATAAAGTATGGCCTGTGGACCCATAACTGCTGACAGTAACAGAATGGAGAAAGACTCAGATGAAAAATGACTTTTCAGCCAACATGTCCTTTTTGACACAAGTTTTCTACTCCTTCCTTCGCTCTGATGTGCAAGATTCTTTATGAATGATCCTTGCCAGTTTAATCACCCATCTAAAAGTTTGGAAGGTGACTGGAAAAAAGCCAGGATATTAATTTGCAGAGCTCATTTGGTTTGCCTTGTCGATTGTCCCTGAACCTTTTGCCATCAGCATGTAGAATTGGTAGTAGTAGTAATAACAACACCTTATTAATATCCCGCCCTTCTCTCACCCCGAAGGGGACTCAGGGTGGATCACAGTACATATACACGGCAAACATTCAATGCTGCCTTGTATAGACAATACACAAACAGACAGAACAGAGAAGGTGGTTTGTTTCAGCTCTTTGGTGCCATGGAAGGTTGGGCTCAAGTCCAGGGGGTGCTGTTGATCTATCCCAGTGGTTCTCAACCTGTGGGTCCCCAGGTGTTTTGGCCTACAACTCCCAGGAATCCCAGCCAGTTTACCAGCTGTTAGGATTTCTGGGAGTTGAAGGCCAACACACATACAGGGAGGGCCGACACTGGCCCCATGTCTGATCTACACTGTGGAGGGAATGCAGTTTGGTACTTGAACTGCCATGGCTCAATGCTGTGGAATGATGGGATTTGTAATCTCACAAGCCAAAAAGTGCAGGTGCCTCAACAAACCCCAGGATTGCATTGTATTGAGCCATGACAATTGGAGAAAGAGTCCAATTGCCTTCTTCTCCAGTGTAGACGCAGCCTAAGCCATCCACGTGGACGGTTTGGGAGGATTTCGGTTAAGAGACATTCAGCCTGCACCATTCTTGAGTTAGAACAGCCATGGGCAAACTTAGGCCCTCCAGGTGTTTTGGACTTCAACTCCCACAATTCCTGACAGCCTCAGGCCCTTTCCTTTTCCACCTCGGCCGCTTAAGGAAGAGGCCTGAGTCTGTCAGGAATTGTGGGAGTTGAAGTCCAAAACACCTGGAGGGCCCAAGTTTGCCCATGCCTGAGTTAGAACGTGAATGGTGTTTCCATGTAAACCCCGCAGAGGTCTCCCCTTGCTCTAGCCGCCTTCCTTCCTCACTACCCACCCAGGCCTGCAGCCCCCTCCATCCCTCCCCGCCTGGGCCTCACCTCAGCCGGAGCCTCACGGGAGTGGCTGCCTCACCTCTCGCCCAGCGCTCGTCTCCTCCACTTCCGCCTGGAGACGCCCAGCAACCCTCTCCGCTCCACTTCCGGCCTGGCACCGGAAATAGGCTCGAGTGAGTGAGAGACGGGGAAGGAGAAGACGGGCGAGGATAAAGGGGGCGGTGTAACGCCTTAGCCACGCCCCCTATCGTTTGGGATTGGCTGAGACTCTTCAGCGCCTTGCGAAAGGCGGAGGGGGCGTGGCTTCTGGGGTGGGACAAGCCCCGCCCGAAAGGGGCGTGGCCAACTTTGAAAAATATGATTGACAGCCAGCAACGATGAAAACGGTCAGCAAGCAGAACAGACAGAAGCTTCAATAAAATCATAAGAGTCCCAGTTAGAAGAGGCCTTGTTGGCTATCCAGTGCAACCCCATTCTGCCAAGAAGCAGGAAAATCTCATTCAAAGCACCCCCGACAGATGGCCCTCTAGCATCTGCTTAAAAGCCTCCAAAGAAGGAGCATCCACCACACTCCGGGGCAGAGAGTTCCACTGATGAACAGCTCTCACAGTTAGGAAGTTGAGTTGTGACTTTTCCGGGCTATATGTTCCGGGCTTTTCCGGGCTATATGAGAGCTGGACCTTAGGGAAGGCTGAGCGAAGGAAGATCGATGCTTTTGAGCTGTGGTGTTGGAGGAAAGTTCTGAGAGTGCCTTGGACTGCGAGAAGATCCAACCAGTCCATCCTCCAGGAAATAAAGCCCGACTGCTCATTGGAGGGAAGGATACTAGAGACAAAGTTGAAGTACTTTGGCCACATCATGAGGAGACGGCAAAGCCTAGAGAAGACAATTATGCTGGGGAAAGTGGAAGGCAAAAGGAAGAGGGGCCGACCAAGGACAAGATGGATGGATGGCATCCTTGAAGTGACTGGACTGACCTTGAAGGAGCTGGGGGTGGTGACGGCCGACAGGGAGCTCTGGCGTGGACTGGTCCATGAGGTCACGAAGAGTCGGAGACGACTGAACGAATGAACAACAACAATGTTCCAGAAGCATTCTCTCCTGACGGTTCACCCACATCTCTGATATTGTTGTTTTTAAATTGTGTTTAAATTGTGTTAGATTTTAGCCTGTTCTTGTAAGCCGCTCTGAGCCCCAAGGGAGTGGCGGCATATAAATTTGAATTATAAATAAACAAATAAATCTCTGCCCCTACAATGGCAGGCATCCTCACAATCTCTGAGGATGCCTGACATAGCTGTGGGCAAAATGTCAGAAGAGAATGCTTCTGGAACATGGCCTTATGGCCCAGAAAACTCACAGCAATCCAGTGATTCCGGCCTCAAAAGCCTTCGACAACAATGGCTGAGGTGTACCTTGTTAATAGCCAGCTGCATTAAATTACTACTGACCAAAAGGCAATGAGTTGGAAGCCAGCCTGGGTTGGAGTAAGCTCCTGACCATTAATAGTCTATCTTGCTGTTGACCTATGCCACTCAAAAGACAGTTGCATTTGTCAAGTAGGAAATGTAGGGACTGCTTTATGTGGGGAGGCTAAATTAACTAATTTATGATGTTATAAAACCTTCCAGTAGTGTGCAGAAGAATGAGGAAGTAATCAATTAAAGGACCCAGTGTCACAAGTGGACAGTGAAGCAGCAGCTCCCCCAGTGGCTGGAACCAAGCATACTCTCATGAAGCGGGAAAAAGCTGGAATGTTAAATTGCCTCTATGTCTGTCTATATATGTTGTATGTCTAAATGGCACTGAATGTTTGCCATGTATATGTGCATTGTAATCCGCCCTGAGTCCCCTGAGGGGTGAGGAGGGTGGAATATAAATACAGGAAATAAATAAGTAAATAAATAAATATGACAACAAGTTAGGAAGTTCTTCCTAACATTCAGTTGTGATAGAGTTGGATGTTATCTGCATTGAACTCCAAAACTTAATAAAATAATACCGAAGGACGCTGAGTGGTCCAAGAGAACCAGCAGGGACACATTCCCCCTGTCCAGTTCCCTACGTAGATCAAATATACAAATATGCAAACATTAAAACAGAATTAAACACAAACAGTATTTTAAAATACAGTTAAAATCCATCAAAGCTGTTATAATTTAAAAACCATAGCATCCCCTGATTAGATCGTAAACACCTGAGGATAGGTTAAAGGTAAATGTTTCCCCTTGACATTAAGGCCAGTTGTGCCCAACTCTGGGGGTTGGTGCTAATTTCCATTTCTAAGCTGAAGAGCAGTCATTGTCCGTAGACACCTCCAAGGTCATGTGGCCGGCATGACTGCATGGAGTTCCGTTACCTTCCCACGGTACCTATTGATCTTCACACATTTGCATGTTTTAGATCGGCTAGGTTTGCAGAAGCTGGGGCTAACAGCGGGAGCTCACCCTGCTTCCCACATTCGAACTTGGACCTTTCGATCAGCTAGTTCAGCAGCTCAGCACTTTAATCCACTGTGCCACCGGAGGCTTCCATCTGAGGATTGTAATAATAAAAATAAGAATAATAAAAGTACAATAATAAAATAAAATTATAATATAATATTATACACACACACACATATATATATAGTATACTAGTCGTCCCCTGCCACGCATTGCTGTGGCCCAGTCTGGTGATCTAGAAAATAAAATAACGAGAACGTGTTGGTTTCTAATATATATAATTTCTTTATGCTTGTGGGTAAACATTATTTCTTGTTGTTTCTTTGTCAGTGTTGATGTAGAGATTGTCTGGTTTGCCTACTCTGGAACATACAACATATAATTGTCCTTTTCTGGGGGTCCCTTTCAAATCTATGATACTATCTCTCTCCCTGTGTGTGTGTGTGAATCATATCTATCTATCTATCTATCTATCTATCTATCTATCTATCTATCTATCTATATCTATGGCTGGATGACCCTTTGTCAGGAGGGCTTTAATTACATTTTCTTGCCCTGGTGAAGGAAGTTGGACTGGATGGCCTTAAGTATTTCTTGTTGGTCATGGGGGTTGTGTGTGGGAAGTTTGGCCCAATTCTGTTGTTGCTGGAGTTCAGAATGCTCTTTGATTGTAGGTGAACTATAAATCCCAGTAACTACAACTCCCCAATGTCAAGGTCTACTTCTCCCAAACTCCATCTGTGTTCATATTTGGGCAAATGGAATATTTGCGCCAAGTTTGATCCAGATTCATCATTGTTTGAGTCCACAGTGCTCTCTGGATATATGTGAACTACATCTCCCAAACTCAAGGTCAATGCCCACTAAACCCTTCTAGTGTTTTCTGTTGGTCATGGGAGTTCTGTGTGCTAAGATAGGTTCAGTTCCTTTGTTGGTGGAGTTCAGAATGCTCTTTGATTGTAGGTAAACTATAAATCCCAGCAACTACAACTCCCAAATGACAAAATCCTTTTTTTTTTTAGTGATGGTCACTCCTTGGGTTAGTAGGTGTCTTGTGGCCAAATTTGGTGTCAATTCCCCCAGTGGTTTTTGAGTTCTATTAATCCCACAAACGAACATTACATTTTTATTTATATAGATAATGTAATATTACAAATACTATATTACTATTATATAATTTCTAGGCAGGGATTAACAATAAAAATAATCAAAATATAATAACATAATATTATATTACTATAAGAGATCACGAAGAGTCGGAAACGACTGAATGATGAATGAACAACAAAATATAATAACAACAATATCATAAACGTAATAATTATATATTACTATTATAAAATTTCCTGGCAGGAATATAATAAAAATAAAATATCAAAATATAATAATCATATTGTATTTTATGTTGCTGTTCATTCAGTCATTTCCGACTCTTCGTGACCTCATGGACCAGCCCACGCCAGAGCTCCCTGTCGGCCATCACCTCCCCCAGCTCCTTCAAGCTCAATCCAGTTACTTCAAGGATGCCATCCATCCATCTTGCCCTTGGTCGGCCCCTCTTCCTTTTTCCTTCCATTTTCCCCAGCATCACTGCCTTCTCCAAGCTTTCCTGTCTTCTTATTATGTGGCCAAAGTACTTCATCTTTGCCTCTACTATCCTTCCCTCCAATAAGCAGTCGGGCTTTATTATATAATAGTAATATAATATTATGTTATTATATTTTGATTATTTTTATTGTTAATCCCTGCCAAGAAATTATATAATAGTAATATAATATTTGTAATATTACATTATCTATATAAATAAAAATGTAATGTTCGTTTGTGGGATTAATAGAACTCAAAAACCACTGCGGGAATTGCCATTTGTATTTTATATATATTATTAATATGGTAATAATCATATTGTATTATATTACTAAATAATAATAATATTTATTTATTTATTTATTTATTTCGTGTACTTCTACCCCGCCCTTCTCAACCCCCGAGGGGGGACTCAGGGTGGCTTACAAAAAGGCACAATTCGATGCCTACACAGTAATACAGATAAGATATAGACAGCAATTAAAAACAGTTATAACAGTTAAAAACAATCAATATATATCACAGTCAATAAAAAACAATCTTATGCTCAACGTTCACAACTCAGAGTCCATAGGTTCATTCCACATTTTCCATTCCTATCAATCGTCATTGTCCTTTATTTATCTGCCAGATTGCCGAAACGCCTGGTCCCAAATCCATGTTTTTAATTTCCTTCTAAAGGAAAGGAGGGATGATGATGATCTAATTTCCCCGGGGAGTGAATTCCATAGTGAATTTATGGAATTCCATTCCATTCCATATTCTTATTATTATTATTATTATTATTATTATTATTATTATTATTCCATAATAATAATAAGATTAGATAAGGATTAAAACCTGTTGAATCTCTGCCTGTCCTGCCATGTGTTATTTTCTAATGAAAAGCTTTCCCAATATAGTTAAAAATTAAAAATAAATCCATGTACATCCACACAAAAAACTCAGATTAAAGAAACCGCTCCAAAGACTACAACAATAAGGAGATAATTAATACCCTAGTGTTTTTTTCTGGTATTTATAGTTCACCTACAATCAAAGAGTGTTGTGAACTCCCCCAACAATGGAATTGAATTAAACTTGGCACACAGTTCTCCCATGATCAACAGAAAATACTGGAAGGGTTTGGTGGGCATTGACCTTGAGTTTTAG